TTTTTAAGTCAAATAAAATGGGCTGGCTTGATTAGAGCCTTCTCCACTTTTTCTTTCCATTTTTAAGATGCAAGTATATGCTGGGAGAGGGGAACCTTCAGGTAGATGTGAAGTGAATAAGTAAAATTGCTGGTAAATTAATAAGAATTCTTCTTAGTGTTCCTTCACAGTTTAAAAAAATGTGAGTTTTGTACTTTGTCTGTTTTTACTGTAAGTTTAAAAATCTTTTTGGTAGTGTTTCTTCACTGTTCCCTTGGTTAAAGGTAAAGCCTATTATTTATTTAAACTCTTACTAGAAAAAACCCTTGGCCATTCCCATTTATTGCTTTTTTCCCCCTTTTACTTTGATTTGCTTCAAGCCCCTTTAGGAAAAAATTGTGTATTAGAGTGAGTTCTAGGAAATCCAAAAGTCTAGTTAAGTTCTTTTCAAAATTTACACAAATTTTTTCACTACCAAAAAAAATAAACAAATGAAGTATGTTAAGCTGAAATTTATATTAACTTTATTTTACTATTTTACCATAAATTAGACAATGGGGTGCAGCCTACATTTTTGTGTCTCTGTATTTCTTAAGTAATTGTGTAAGCTCTAAGAAACTCTGTTTTGTGAGCCTGTTGATGTTTTATTGTTCATGTGACAGCACCTGTTTTTCCAGTCTGAGCACCTTTTGTTGTGAAGTGGTCGTAAGAGTATTGATTGCTTTGTAAAAACGCTTGGCTGGTAATGCCTCTTGGCATCTAATCTTTATCTCACCACCTAGTTTGAACATCCAGCACTTGACAATATAATGACAGAAATGATTGTACCAGTGGATGAAGTAATGAAAATGAAGAAAAGGAAAAGAACCCTTCCTTCCATGGCATGAGTTTTTTGATTTTTTTAAGTGGCATTTATGTAAGTTAGAAATACTATATATTAAAATTGGTAAAGTTTGAACATTTCTCCTGTGTTGATTCTTAGACTATGAGGAGGATCAGATAGCTTTCAGTTTTGAAATCTGGTTAAGTCAAACATTTTGACATTGTGAATTACTCAGTACTTGCAGTCTCTGTGTACCCAAAACCCTGCGCCATGTTGTCCATCTTTACCTAGAGGCCATTCATTGGGTCTCAGAAAGGACAGCTGGTTTGGTCTTCGTGAGCACTGCCTCAGCTAGGAACTTGGGCTACACCATAAACCTCTCCGCAGTTTGCAAGCTCAGGTGCCTGCAGAAACCATAGATGCTCACCAGAGCAGACTGGGCATGTGGGATTGTGGAAGTTACTCGGTAAAACAAAACCCAGACACACATGCAAGTTATGGGTGCTTTATTTTAAGTAATAGCTACAGGTGCACCTTTGATTTTGAACAGAATTGTAAGTAATGTCCTCTCGTACCCACCATATAGTAGAAAATGTGAATTAAAGTAAATGTTTCTGTCGTCTTTTTTTGGTTTTTTTTCCTCCTTTTTCAATGTTTCCTTTTTTGAGATGAGGATTTTATTATAATTTGTGGAGAAAGGAGGAAATCTTGAGTAGTCTGAGGCTGTCCCTTCTCATCATGATGGCAGCCCGCAGGTGAGGGGCTCTACATGGAGGATTCCACCCTCACAGCTGCGCAGTGGACAGATATGATCACTTCTGCTCACAGACACGAATGCTGAGGGTAAGAGAGGCTAAGTCCTGCATCTACACTCACAAATCCCTGGGTGGTTGTGGGACCGGAATCTGGAACCAGGAAGTCTGACTCTAAGGCCTCCTCAGAATGCGCTACATCTGTGTCATTTTATAAGTTGGTCTATTACCATTCCACTAACTATTGGGGACTTTCAGCATTTTGCACGCCCCTGGTCAGTGCAAAATGAGCGTCTTTTGAATTGTATTGAGTTATCAGGCTTTTTAAGTATATTTAAGTTTTTGAACAGGTAATACATTCGCATGATTCAAAAACCAAAAAATAGAAAAGCTCTGTGGTAGAATGTTTTCTTTGTATCCAATACTGCGCACCTTACCCCTGCTTCTCCAAAAATAACCTCTGGTCTTGGTTCCTTATGACTTCATTCATACTGTTTTAGACATATATAAACAAATAGGAACGTGAAGTCTTATTTTTTCCCTAGTTTTTACACAGAGTGGTATCATGTATATACTGTTTGCTTTTTTCCCCCACTTAAGTTTTCTTGGCAGAATTCCATGTCACTAGATAGCTTACTCGCATTTTCTTTTTTTCTATAACTGCTTGGTATTCCATTATATGAACATGTAATCATTTAACCAGTCCCCTATTAATGGGAATTTGGGTATTTCCCAAATCTCTTACATATCATTTCACATGCATATAATTATGCACTTGTAGGATTTGGGGATAAAAGACCATCTGCATTTGTAGGTTTGAAAGACTTTAGAACATTGCCCTCCATGGGTGGAAGCAGCCCATCCCCACACCCACCTGTAATTCAGACAATGCCTGCTCACCCACCAACTTACAACACAGGTGTTGTTCAAAACTCTGATATTTGCCATTGTGATATATGCAAATTACACACCCGTGTACTTTAGTTTGTATTTTTATTACAAGGTTGGCTCCCATTAATCTTTGAGCCCTTGGTATTTCCTTTGCGTTCTTTTCTTTCACTCATTTTCATACGGTGTGGTTGATCGATTCATGAACTCGCAGGAGTGCTTTCTCGGGTTAGGGATGTTAGTCCTGTCACTGTAATGAGCTAAAAATGTTTCCAATGTATCATCTTTGGACTTTGCTTTAGTGATTTCTGGACTGTAAGTCATACTTAGAATGCCCTTTCACTCCACAGCAATAATGTACCTATATTTTCTTCTGGAACTTTTACCACTTAGTTTGTTTGATCTAAATTTTTATTCCTTTGGAGTGTATCCCAGATGGTTACCCAGCTACTTCAGTATCACTTATTGGACTGTTTTCCTTTCCTTACCTGTGTGAGATGCTGCATTTATCATACCCAAAGTCCCATGAGGACTTGGCTCTGTATTTGGGTTCTTTCTATTTCACTGGTCTATTTACTGATGCACTTCACTGTTTTCATTACTCGGGGTCTGTGTTCTAATATCTGGTTCATTGGTCCCAACTCATTCCCCCTCCATTTTCTTTTACAGTTTTCTTTAGTTGTTCTTGTTTATTCCACATGGGTTTTAAAAAACCCTTTAACATTATGGATCATGCTAAAACTCCGCCCTACTCAGTGTCTTCTCACTAGGGTTGCATTTTTAACCACTTAATGTGTCCCTGTTCTTTTAATTTGATACTTTACTAGATATTTTCTTTTTACTGCCTGTTGTGTTATTTCCCAAGAGGTGAGGGGAGAGGCAAGACATGGCATGTCTATATAGATAGAATTTTACCTCATTGCTTCTAAGATTTAGCTTCTAATTTGAGAACTACATGTAGAATCCTTATTTCCTTTTTTATTCCAGTATGAATTTTGTCCAAAAGTTGGGTATTTATAAATATTATACCCGTTAAGTCAGCACAGGTGGCTGCAAGTGCAGGTACAAGGAGTTAGCTTAGACGATGTCACTGGAAGAACAGGGTCTGACTACACGCACTGTTCTAGGAGTTGGGGATGTGAAAAAAAACAGACAGGGATTCCTGCCAGTGTGAAACAGGGGAATTCTGCAGCCAGACTAGGTCCCATCTCGTTTAGAGAGATGCACCCAGAGAAGAGTATCGACTGAGGGGGAACAGCTCACACAGAAGCAGGTCCAGTGGAGGTGCCCTCCATCTGAACGGCTTAGTGTCTGCTTGATGGCGCCATCCAGGTGTCGCAGATGGATTGAAATTGTCCATGTAACGCCCCTGGTCAGTGCAAAATGAGCATTCACCTTCTGATATAATTTAATTTTCTACATGGATTTCCTTCACCCCATATCCCCCCAAATGGGGAAGTGTGCTGCTCCCATGGACAGGTTTTAGTCAGCAAACCTGATGCCCAGACCCTGGGCCAGTGAACTCACCAAGAGTACTTGACACCAGATGGTCCTGGTCAGTTTATCCTAAATATGCCCTTTTATACCTTAGTTAATGCCCTCCAGGACCACCTTGACTTGGAATTGTAAAGAGATGGAGGAGCTGTGTTGTAGGGGACCAGGTTCCTGGGAAATTGAGGCTCAGAGCCAAGGAAGGCCACAGATCTAGCTGAAGAGAGCAGCCCTCGGGGCTCCTGTTCTGACCACATTCAAGTTCGGCGGCAGAAGATCTGTCCTGGAGACAGGGTCTAATGTTCTGAGTGGTAGAGCAGCCAAGGTCCAAAGGGCAGGCCAGGTTTGCAGGCTACAGGATTAACATTGGCAAGGTGTAATTATTTCCAGGAAAACAAAGGACAGGCCCCAGCCACAGGCCAAGGAGTCCAGCTTTGGGGGAACTGGGCAGACACCCTTAGGGTTTGCTGAGTCACTGCATTTGGATCTGAGGACTCTGAAGCCCAACTAGATGACCTGGGCAGCAAGTCTCAGAACTCCACACTGGATGGATGCCATCAGTGCCCAGGCCCAGAGGAGCTGGGGACAGGTATGGGAAAGCAACAGAGGATTTCAAGGTATTTGGTGCAAGGGCTTTTCCCACATCTCTGCTAAGGGCCAAGAGGAGGGCTGCCCTCAGGGTATTGCTGAGTTTGCAGACTGGACCCGGGGCACATGGCAAGTCCCAAGCCCGGTGTCCATCATATAATATGCACTTGGTAGACAATAACTGAATTCCACTCCCTCGTCCTCGGTGTCCCTTTCTAAATAAATGTTTCCTCACTTAATCAGCTCATTGATAGTCTTTTTTTTTTTTTTTTTAAATATTTTCTTTATTTATTTTTCAAGAGAGGGGAAGGGAAGGAGAAAGAGTGGGAGAGAAATATCAATGTGTGGTTTCCTCTCATGCGTCCCCTGCCGGGAACTGGCCTGCAACCCAGGCATGTGCCCTAACTGGGAATCGAACCGCGATACTCTGGTTCGCAGGCCCGCGCTCAATCCACTGAGCTACGCCAGCCAGGGCTCATTGATAGTCTTTGATGAGAATTCCACTGTTTGCCTGAAGCTTTCCAAAAGCTCCTCCCTGTGGACTGTGAGAGGTCTGAAGTAGCCCTATGCACAGTTAGAAATGTTTTTGATAAGTAAAATTCTCCCTCATGTGGAGTGAAAGATGGAAATGTGTATTAGCTGTGTTTTCAGTCAGATCCCATGAGTCTACATTTTACCATGCTGCAGTCTGAAGGGGCGCAAGGTGTTTTTTTTTAACCAAGTCTCTTCCACTGGAAATCTTGATAAAGTTTCAAATATTTAGATCCATTTATTTCTAATGTAAGTTCACCTTTATCGTCAAAAATAAAAACAATATTGTAGTGATATCCATTGGGTAACTAACTATAAGTGGGAACCCTTTTCTCAAAGCACTTCTCACTCTTGGGTGCACTAATGCTTAGTCCTCTCCTCTCAGTAGGGGTTGAGCGCTCAAGGCCACTGAAAGCAGTTCTTGGGGATTTCTGTAAAACAGGAAACCCCTGACAGTGTCCTAGAGACTGCCTGACCTTTGCAGCTGAACATGGTAACTTGCAGTTAACCACGTGCCTGACATGCCCAAGTGGGAAGTGTCCTGTGACTGCTGTGTATATTGTAAGATAAAATTTAAGAGTCCACAGCCCTGTGGGTAACACACCCTGGACATTTTAATCATCAGCTCAATTAAATGGGTTAATTGTAAAAATGAGAAAGAGTTGAAGATGTCCACTCTGCAGTTGGCTGTTCCACAGAATTCCAACAGCTGCTCAGAAACCTGACAGGCGTTGGAATTCGTGGGGAATCAGGAGAGATGGGTGATGGTACAAAATGCACGAGGATACTGGCTCTTCTCCGTACATTCTTCCCTTTAATTTCCTCATGTGTCCTTAAAAATCAAGACATTTGGGTGCTTTCAGGACGGAAATCGCCATTCCTTGCCTTTTCTTAGCCTTTAACCATTCCACGTAAGGAGTTGCTTTGTTTGTTAGTGTACTTAGCAGCACAAGAAACTAAAGGAAGTTTTGGTTTTCCTTTCCATCCAAATCTGCCCCATATTCACAGGGTGTATATGACCATGTATTACAAGAGAAAAATAGTTTGATACATAGTTTTTAATATTCTAGATGTGTTTAATACTCTAGATGTGCTTTAGCGTTATTTTTAAAAAGAGAAAAATGGGCACTTAGAACATTTTTATCCTTTCTAATGAAAAAAGAATAGTTCAAATAAATACTAGTAGCTTCATCACAAAAACAGATTATGGTTTTTACCAGTAAATGCTAGGTATTTCAATTTTCTTGCCAGTAATAACAGAATAATAAAGTATCATAGGATAGATGTAATAACTACATAGTTTTAGTGATATTTTAATCACTGTATTCTTTAAAAACATCTCTATCCTTGAATGGGCAGCATGTCCCAAAAGCCTGATTTAAAGGAGCTCCAAGCATATGCCAGCTCTGCTTGTAAATTCCCCTAAGGATCAGTCACAAAGATGGGTGACAAATGGCAGGGGTGTTCTTAGAGCTATTAACAACTTCTATCTTAGGGTGACCTGAATAATCAGTGCAAATTTGCTTCAGTGCAGAACTTCCCCTGAAGTAACTATTTTACATGATGTATGACTCTTCCACAAACTGAAAGGCGAGAAAGAGGGTTAAATGCAGGGAAGAGATGCTCTGCACAAATGAAAACCCAGTCGTGGCCTGTTTAAAACTGGAGATAGATCCAGTTGTAAATCCCTTCGAGATGAGAGAAGGTGGGCTTGGTGTCTGTGCAATCAGTGCCCAGAGATGAATTATTCCTGAAGGGCAAAACGGGGTTTCCTCGTGGAGGCGGGACTTTCGGGCAAGACCGAGTTCCTTTCACCTCCCCAAGCGGCGAGACTCCGGTCAGAGCAGAGTCTGCCCCTCTGCCAACACCACTTCCTTTCGCACCTCGTTTCTGTGTAGCCTCCGTAAAGAGCCACAATCTCCTATCACAGGCAGTTTTACAACTGCAGAATACGAGCATATATGTGAGATTTTGGAATGGCACTTGTGGTTGGAGAACTAGTATTTCCTGGTGTTGCTCTCCAATTAGAGAACACAGCAGCAGCCAACCCGGAGTGCCCTTCACGTGGTGGAGGCGGAAGTCACGTGAGGGAGCCCGCGCTTCTCCCACGTGAAGCGCCGCGGAGCCAGCTACTGAAAAATAAAGGGTGTTGTTTTAAATGTGGGTGGAGATTAAGGGAACCAGTTAGGGTTCCATGCTGCCTTCCGGCTCAAGGGCCCCGGGGTCTTTCTTACTGACCCCCTATGAGAGCCCCTTGGAGTTCCTGCAGCGGCAGGGGCGTTCCGTGCGCGGGAAAGGCGCGCCCCTGCTGTGGTCCTGAGGTAATTCCGCTTCACAGAGCTGAAGAAAGGCTGTACACCTCTGAGGGGAGCGGAGGAGGTTTACGGGTGTGAGTCAGCACTACCAACACCTTCGACATCATCATCTGAGTGTACCCACTAGCGCCCTCCTGAAGAGTACCAGACTTTTGGCAAAATTGGTTTTCTTGGAGGGACCAACTATCTGGGTCTTAAACCGTAAGGAGCCAGGGAGCTCATACTTGGCCTGTTGACATTCTGCTAGAGTGTCACCCTCGCCACTGGAGCCGTGCATAGAGGCTGCCAGCGCGGAGGCCAGGATCCGAGTGAAGAGGTAAGGATTCGAGGAATGCTTTAGTCCAAAAGCCTAAAAAAGCCCTCAGACCATATACTGTTTACTTTTAAAGTGAGTTATGCATAAAAGTCTGTGCAAACTGTAACATTGCAGTAACATTCTCAAAACCCCCTGCTATATTTTAGCACTACTATTTAAGTTATATAAAATACATTTTTATAAAAGTATGGAATTTTTGAAGTTTAAATTATACCCACTGAAATAGGCAGCCAGGCTCCCTTTTTAGTACTAAACTAAGGTTTTGTCAATCTAAAATTTAGATTCTAAGTTATTGCTTAGTCCTGTGGAGCCCTTAGAAACCTATAACAAATAAAAATCAAGTCCTACTTCTTAAGGAAAAGTGCCCTAAAGAGTGAGCTGTCATTAAGTTAGTCTTCCTGAAGTTTTCCACCCGAGGAATTGTCCACGAAACCGTTCACTGGTGCTGCCCATGGCTGGGCTTGTCAGGATCCAAACTTGAGTCTGGTGGCAGAGTTCCTGCTGGAACCAGGAAGCTGTTGGCTTGGTGTCCCCAGTCATAGTAGTCTGGAGCAAAACTTAAAAAGAAAGAGGTATTTCAGTGAAACACTGTGCTTATTACCAATGACATGTCTGCTTTAGGTAAATAGCACTGGGATTCTGTGTGAACTCCTGGCAATTTCAAGGTTTTTAAAGGCAGCTTCTTGTCGCCCATTTTTCCACCAGACAGTGCTTTGTGCAGTAGCTAGAAGTCCACTCACAACAGTCTACTGAGCTCTTCAGAGCTCACCAGTACAGTGTTACTGGACCATAAACCAATCACAGTGTATAACAAAATGTTAGCAACAAACCGCATCTGAATCCCAACACAGAGGGCAAATGGTTCTCTAACTGTTGTGCCTTTGGACAGGTAACTTTCAGTTTTATCACCTGTGACTATCTTGTCGGGCTTTTTTAAGTTAATACCTATAAAATGCTTAGAACAGTATTTTAATATACAATGAGCACTCGATAATGTGCAATTGTTGTTATTTCCTTCTGTGGAGGGACAGGGGTCTTTTTTTTCCTCCACGTAGGTAGTGAGGACTCGCTCAGCTCTGCTGCTCCTGGCAGGTGAGGGTGCACACAGAGGAACATACATGGCAAGCAGGAAGTGCAGCCGGGTGACTGGGTAAGGGAACAGTGTTACAGGAAGAAGGTCAGGACAACTTTGGACATGGGCTCTCCATTATGGACTCACTTCCGGATGACCCATATCCCCTACATCTTGGATGGGTCTGCTTTGCTTTTGCCCAAGCACCATTTTTTGTTCCATCTGACCAGGCCTTCTGCTACCCGGCCCACTTAGGAAGCAGTGTGTTCTCCCAGGTTCTCACTCCACTCCCCAGTCCCTAAAACACTGGCCCTTTTCTTCAGAGCTCTTTTATGGTTTTCTCAGGGCTTCTACATCTTCTTTTTCATTTCCTCCTGGAAGGAGGGGACAGGAAGGGTTTTACATAAAATGTTAATGATAGGTCTTTAAACCCATAAAGGACTGCCTACAATCAGCTTTTACTTCTAAGTGGCCTGAAGCTTCCCTTCCACAAGAACAGTGCGAGGTCCTGGGGACACCAAGCACTGGGTTGGCAGTTGTCCTCCCCTCCTCATCCTAGGGGCCTCAAAGTCCCAGAGGCACAGTTTGGAAGAGGGACATGACAATTACTGGGCAGTGGTGTGTGGCTGAGGAAAGGAGACAGGAGCCCCAGGGGCTGCCACCCTCCTGTCTGCAGAATGTGCCTGTGACCTGGCCCAGGTAAGAAGTACATGACTGTGGGAGGGGCTGTGCTCTGGCTACAGGTTGCCTCGCGTGCAGGTTTCTCACTCAGCCCTGGTTTCAGGGCTCCCGTGCAGGCGGTTTTTCCTGCTGCAGTCCATTTCACTGGGGCAGCCCTCACCATGCCTCTCACACGGGGGAGGGGCTTACCTTCCCTGGAGTCCCTGGGGGGCAATGTTCCAGGCAAGATCATCATCACTGTCATATCTTCGGGGGTTGTCAAAGAAGTAGGATCTGGGGCTGAATCCATGGCTGGGGACCATCCCAGGACTGGTCTAGAAAGATAGCTGCTAGGTTAGTGCATGTTCACACACTGGGCATCCCACCAGGCAAAGAACAACAAGACCTCTTGCGGGAGACACAGGATGCTCTGCTCCTCCAGACAGAGGCCCTCTGTCCACGGTCGTGTCCGTTTCACTCGCTTTTATTATAAGAGGCTCTATTTCTTTACTTAGTGTGGACAAAATCTTTCAGATCTCTGCTGACAACAATGAATTCTCCAAGTATCAATCCCTTAATGAAAAAACAGACAATGCCTAAACCAGCCAGACCAGACAGTCCCACTTTGGATCTAAACCTGTATAATAAAGCGAGCATTTACAATTTAAAATAATGAAATAATGATGGTGAAATAATTCTGAAAATGTTCCTTATTGCCTTCCATACCCTGCCTCTCTAATTATTTCATCCTGTTTCTGTTCCCAAGCCGAGTTTACCTCTCAAAGAATTTCAAAAGACTGGTTCCGAGTAGGTAGGTCAGGACTATACGATATGGCAAACCAAGTGTGGCATAGAAACCAGCAGTTGTCTGACATCCTTGTATATGCACAGTGGCCCATTTAAAAGTTAACCAACAGAGAATGAACCCAAGTTGTTATGGAAGGTATCCATATGTGAATCCCTGCTTCTCTACGACAAATCCACCAAATGTGGGGAGCAAAGTAGAACTTACACAAGGTGTGATACCTTATAATTTACTATTGTAGCAGATCAGGAATACCTATGCAAAAGAATGAAGTTGGACCTTACCTCTTATAAAAAGTAACTCAAAATGGACCAAAGACCTTAATGTAAGAGTAAAAACCACAAAACTCTTACAAGAAAACACAGGGGCAAATCTTCATGACCTAGAATCTGGCTAAGAATTCTTAGCTATGAGATAAAAAGCATGAGCAACAAAAGAAAAAACAAGTCAGTTGGACTTCATCAAAATTTAAAACTTTTGTGCTTCGAAGGACACCACCAAGAAATTTAAATGACAGCCCACAAAATAGGAGAAAATGTTTGCAAATCATATACCTGACAAGGAGTCACATCTGAAATAATGTGAAGAACTCTTACAACTCAAAAACAGATGACTCAATTTAAAAATGAGCAAAGGAGCTGAAGAGACATTTCTTCAAGAAAGCCACTGAGCACATGGAAAGGTGCATGGCATCTTTGGTCACCAGGGAAAGCCATGTAAGATAGCCCTGCATGGCCATCAGGACATTTAACAGCAAAGTGTCAGGTAATAGGTGCTGGAGAGGATGTGCAGGACCCAGAACACACTACCACTGAGTGTGAAGTGGTACACCCTCTGTGGGGAGGAGTCTGGCACCTTGTCAAAGAGTTAAACATTATTTTCAGCAACTATACTCTGAGCTATATTCCCAAGAGAAATGAAGATGTGTTCAGGCAGAAACTAGCACATGAATGTTCACAGCACCATTATTCACAAGTCAAAACATGGAGACAACCCAAGTGTCGATCAATGGATGAAGGGCTAACAAGAGACAGTATAGTTGTATAGTGGAATATTACTCGGCCATGAAAAGGAATAAAGTCCTGATACATGCTACATCATGGATGAACTCTGAAACATTATGCCAAGTGAAAGAAGCCAGTCATAGAAAATTACACATGACATGACCCCATTTTCATGAAAGTTACAAATGGGAAATCCATAGACAGAAAGTAGATTGAGGGGAGTGCTATATAAAGGGTACAAGGTTTCTTTGTGAGGTGATAAAAATGTTCTAAAAACTGGCTATGGTTGTACATATCTGAATATACAAAAACCCACTGAATTGTACATATTTAATGGGTGAATTGTATGGTATGGGAATTATATCACGCTATTTATACACAAAAAAATTATGGCGAGAGATTCTCAAACTCTACCCCAGAGATGCTGACCTGGGGCCAGGACAGGGCCTGAGAACTATACACCTAGCACCTTGGTAATCTGATGGGACAGCACAGCCACACTTTGAGTACAACGTCAAGTGTAGAGGCTGGTTTGCACCTGCTGAATTATGGACACAAACAGTAAATCACATTCTACAGAAATGCCCCACCTGTGGTGTCTTTTCCCTAAAAGCACACCTGTAGTGTGCCCTTTTAAGATTGATGAGCATGAGTTAAGTTGTAAATTTCCCCCAAAGATATTAGACGACTTTCCTCCAAGCAGTACAGATGTACAGTAACAGCATTATTATCAAGACATGTGTACAGCAGGTCCTGCAATGACGTTTCATCATAATGTTGCTGAGAGGCCACAGGAGGTTCCCTTTGGTTTATGTCAGGCAGCCAGTGGTTAAAATGGGTTTGTTATACATCGTTCCATGTAAAAAGTCCCAGAAGCTATCTGAAACCTTAATTGAGGACTTACTGTGTTAGGAATTTAGTTTCTTTTCCAAACCTTACTATGCCAAGGAAAGCCACAGGGTAGTGCAATAATTAAAATCATGGACTTAAGAGCCAGACCGACTCGGTTAGAATCCTGGCTCTGTCTCCTACTTGCCATGCTGCCTCAAGCCTCAGTTTCCTGATCTAAGAATGAGCGTAAAAAGGAGGCAGAGTCAAGATGGTGGAGTAGGTAAATGCTGACCTCACCTCCTCTCATCAAAACACATCAAAATTACCACTAGCGGTCCCCAACCTTTTTGGCACCAGGGACCGGTTTTGTGGATGACAGTTTTTCCACAGACTGTAGTGGGTGCTGGGAAGGGGAACAGAACCTTTGCTCACTCACAGCTCACCACCTGCTGTGCAGCCTGGTTCCTAAAAGGCCATGGAACAGTGCCAGTCTGAGGCCTGGGGCTTGGGAACCCCTGAACAAAACTGCAGAACCACCATCACTGAGGGCCACCTGAAGACTAGGGATAAGAAGTCCTACAACTAAGGATATTAGTTGTAGAAACAAAGGATTGTCAGAAACAAAAGGACTGTCAGAAAATACTACAATTATATGGCAATAAAATAACATGGATAAATTCCTAGAAACATAAAATCTTCCAAGGCTGAATTAGAAACAGAAAATCTGAACAGACTGGTGACTGCTAACGAAACTGAAGCAGTAATCAAAAACTCCCAACCAACAAAAGTCCTGGACCAGATGGCTTCACAGGAGTTTTACCAAACATTCAAAGAATTAATACCTATCTACTAAAACTACTCCAAAAATTTCTGGAGGAGGGAAGGCTCCCAGGCTCATTTTAAGAGGCCACTGTCACCCTGATAGCAAAACCAGACAAGGACGTTACAAAGAAAGAAAATTGTAGGCCAATATCCTGATGAACATAGATGCAAAAATCTTCAGCAAAATATTATCAGAATGAATCCAGCAATAATACATTATAAGATCATACACCATAATCAAATGGAATTTATTTCTGGGAGGCAAGGTTGGTACACTCTTTCCAAGTCAATTAACATGATAACAACATAAACAAAAAGCAAGCATATACCGTATTTTGCCATGTATAATGCGCTTCAGTGTATAGTGCACACCCACATTTTTGGCCCAAACTTTCAGAAAAAAAAATCTTTCATTTTAATTTTTAAATTCAATTATTTATTTCTGTTTAGAAACAAAACTGACGATCGTATTCAAGGGCATTATTTTGCATACAGATATCGTTATTGCTTCCTCAAGTTACAGTTTCAACACGTGAGTACAAATAAAAGAATTAAGAACATTTATATAAATAGAGAATTAGTACTACCCACATATAAAGCACATCGTTATTTTTCCCTCAAAAATTTGGGCCAAAAAAGTGCACATTATACACGGCAAAATATGGTAAATCATATGATCATATCAATGATACAAAAAATCATTTGACAAAATCCAACATCCATTTATGATTAAAACTCCCAGCAAAGTGGGAATAGAGGGAAGGATCATACCCCAACATAATAAAGGCCATGTATGACAAACCCACAGCCAACATCACATTCAATGGGAAAAAGCTGAAAGTGTTTTTCCCCGAGATAGGGAATAAGACAGGGATGTCCACTTTCACCTCTCTTATTTAACATAGTACTGGGAATCCTAGCCACAGCAATTAGACAAAAAAAAAAGAAAAGGCAAATTGGAAAGGAAGAAGTAAAACTCAGTATTTGAAGATGATGTGATACTATATAGAGAGAACCCTAAATATTCCACCAAAAACTTCAGAACTGATAAATTCAACAAAGTAGCAGGATGCAAAATTCATATTCAGATATAGGTTGCATTTTTATATACCAATAATAAACTATCAAAAAGAGAAATTAAGAAAACAATATCCTTTATAATTGCATCAAAGACAAGGTACCTAGGAATACAGTTAACCAAAAACCTGTACCCAGAAAACTGTAACACACTGAAGAAAGAAATTGAAGATACAAATAAATGGAAGCATATACCATGCCGGTGGATAGAAAACATTAACAACATCAAAATGTTTGCACACTGTGGAAAACAATCTACTGATCCAATGAGGAAGTGTTTAGGGTCTGATGGGACAGAAGCCTCTGAGTGTTCCTAAAGCACACCAAGGTCAGATAATGAAAATGAAAGGGCAAGAACAGGTCTTCCGATCTAGAAAATGTTGCCCTAGACATTCGCAGATGAATTTTACCAAACATTTAAAGAGGGGCCCATTGTCTCTCAAGGCCGGCCCACCACCTGCCCACTCCAGTCTCACTTACCTTCTTCTATTCCTGGCTCATTAGTGACTATGCAGAGATGAATAAGAAAAACACAAAACAAAGCACCACAGACTGGTTATTACATATTTGCTTTCCTTACCACTCACATTTTGCTCACATTGGACAAAAAATTACGTTTCGTTATACTTTCCCATGGGTTTCCTACACCAGTGATTCAAAATTCTACCACTAGTTAGTGTGCCTGGAATAATTTATGGAGCAAAGCTTCCTGGGCATCCTCACTGCTGGGTTTTGCATTTTCTCTCTGCCCTCATAAACACATTTATGTAAAGTCGGTGAGTAGAAATGTGACCAGACTAGGGGAGTGGCTTTAGCAGTATTTTTTCCCACAATGTTTTTAATTCCCTATCATCCCATTCGGCAGGAGATAGGAATAAAGAACTGAATTTCCCATTTTCCTTTGCTAAAATAGAAGCTTATAGATTCAGTTCCTGGCAAGTCAAGGCTCAAATACTATCAAGGCTGTTGTTGCATTAGGAAAAGTAGTTAATCACTCTCTCTAGGCCCTGAGATGCGACTCACTTTCATTTACAATTTCATTGTAAATATGCAACTACATTGTAAAACACATTTTCTCAAAAAAGAATCAAGGGGGATAACAGATTCTTTTCTTTTTTTTTTAAGATTTTATTTATCTTTAGAGGGGAAGGGAAGGAGAGTGGGAAAGAACTATCAATGTATGGTTGCCTCTCCTGCGTCCCCTGCTAGGAATTGCCCTGCAGCCCAGGCATGTGCCCTGACTGGGAATCGAACCACAATCCTGTGGTTTGCAGGCCCGTGCTCAATCCACTGAGCTACGCCAGCCAGGGCGGATAACAGTTTCAATTAAATATGGGAACTTTTTCTATCACAACAGGACGGAAGAGGCTCTTGAACAAAAAAATCGAAGAAAAAAATTCCGACCGTGTGTGTTTGTGATTAGAATCAGGCAGTATCCTCTGTAAGTATAAAATGGTTTACTCACAAGGTCCCTTGCAGGATTCCTAACTCGGAAAAAGTAGACGACTAAGGTGGTAGGCAGGAGCTCCCACACGAAAAGGACGACTCCGAATACCACGTAGCCGGCATCTCCCAGCTGGTTCTTCAGGTCTGCCTGTGGGGAGAGAGGCGGCAGGGTCAGGGCTGAGGGCGGAGGGACTCGGCTGGACGCGTTCCTCCTACCTCGAACTGAGAGCACCTCCGATCTAGTGCGATCCATTCCCCTAAAATGTGCAGGCTGAAGCCAGGCAACACAGGGTTGGGCCAAAAAATCTGTTTAGTTTTTTCTGTAAAATAAGACACGTTTTTTATTTTCACCAACAACTTTTTGATTTGGGTATTTTGAATGTGTCAGCTGTCTCCCACGTGGTGGAATGTTGATTGCTCTCAATTAATGTCTCCATTTAATCACGATCAACTTCAGCTGGTTTGCCCGACCATGGAGCATCAACCAGCTAGAAAGCTCCAGCACAAAACTTCACAAACCACGTTTGACACGTTCGATCAGTCATAGCACCACCTCCATACACTGCAGAAACCTTTTTATTTTTGCATTTCAGTTGCATTTTTATCTTACTCAAAATAATAAAGCAGACAGACTTCCGCCAAGATGAAGGCGTAGGTGGAAACACTTTGCTTCCTCGCACAACCAAATCTAAAAACAACAATAAATGCAACCAAACTACAAAAACAATACGGAGTCTGAAAACAACAAACTGCTCAGCTAAACCAGTGAGAGGGAGGAAGCCAGCAGCGGAGCAGGTCGGGCAAAGACTATCCCCCGCCCAGGGCGGCGTGCAGGCAGCCGAGGGCGCGGATCCCAGGTGTGGGGTAGCTACGGGCGGACCCAAGCAAGGTGTGGCGCAGCTGGCTGTCTGCGGTTGTGCATTTGTGCGCAGATAAACCAGTGAAGAGACACGCATTGAGACAGATCTCGCAGGCCCTGGTGCAGGGTGGCGGGCTCACACATTTGCGCCCAGATAAACAGGCGGGGGCGAGCGGTGAGGCAGACTGGGCGAGCTGAGAGGACTGCCGTTGCTCCCTCTCTGACCCTGCCCCCGCGTACAGCATCACAAACCAGCGACCCGGGTGGCCCCGCCCTGGTGAACATTTAAGGCGCCTCTCCTCATATGTAACAGGCACAAACAGATCAAAACATGGCTCAAGAACAACTCAGAGCCCCAGAGCCAATAAATCTAATCGATGAAGAAATAGCCAAACTTTCAGACGCACACACAGTTCAAAACACTGGTGATCAGGATGCTCACAGAACTGGTTGATTTTAGTCACAAATTAGAGGGACATATGAAGGCTAAACTAATTGAAATGAATGGAAATGCACAGGAAACCAATAGTAATGGAAAGGAAACTGGTACTCAAATCAAGGGAGCAGACCAGAAGGAAGGAAAAAATGACCAAACAGAAAAATATGAAGAAACAAGAATTCAAAAAAATGAGGAGAGGCTAAGGAACCTCCAGGACATCTTTAAATTCTCCAACATCTGAATTATAGGGGTACCAGAAGGGGAAGAGGAAGAGTCACGAGTAGAAACCTTATTTGAATAAATAATAAAAGAGAACTTCCCCATTCTGGCAAAGGAAATAGACTTCCAGGAAATCCAGGAAGCTCAGAGAGTCCCAAAGAAGTTGGACCCAAGGAGGAACAAACCAAGGCACCTCATAATTCCATTAGCCAAAATTAAAATGAAGGAGAGAATCCTAGAAGCAGCAAGAGATAAGGGGATAGTCACCTACAAAGGAGCTCCCATCAGATTGTCAGCGGATTTCTCAAAAGAGACCTTACAGGCAAGAAGGGGCTGGAAAGAAGTATTCCAAGTCATGAAAACCAAAGACCTACATCCAAGATTGCTCTATCCTTTCGTTTAGAATGGAAGGGCAGATAAAGTGCTTCTCAGGTAAGATCAAATTCAAGGAGTTCATCATCACCAAGCCCTTATTATATGAAATGTTAAAGGGACTTATCTAAGAAAAAGGAGATAAAAAAGATGAACAGTGAAAGGACAGCAAACTCACAGTTTTAAGAACCACACCTAAAACAAAAGCAAACTAAGAGGACAGCTAGATCAGGAGCAGAACCATAGAAATGAAGATCTCATGGAGGGTTAGCAACAGGGGAGTGGGAGGAAGAGAAGGGGGGAGAAGGTACAGAAAATAAGTAGCATAGATGGTAGGTAGAAAATAGATAGGGGGAGGGCAAGAATAGTAGGGGAAATATAGAATCTAAAGAACTTGAGACACGTGTTCATGAACTAAAGGGGGGAATGGTGGGGGAGGGGTGTACAGGGTGGAGGTGAATGAAGGGGGAAATAGAACAAATGTAATGGCATAATCAATAAAATAAAAATATATTTAAAAATAATAAAGCATAATAGGCTGAAAATGTTGCCTCTTTTCTTCAATCTTTAATATTAAAATGGCTACACAAACATTCACCAATTTTGATTACCTTTTTTTAAACATACACTGATACGACAGCTGACACAACACAATCTAATAAAATTGTTCCCAATGAAGTTAAAGACAACTAAGTGCTACTAGAGCCATCTTAGTACAGAAAAAACCAAACACACTTTTTGGCCAACCCACTACTAATGGTCCCAACCACAGGTGCTCCTGCCACTCTCTGGTGTTTCATTACTTCCCCTTCCAAATTCTTCCTCACGTCCACATTGAGTCCCAGATAAAAGTTGACTGTCTTTTCTCCACCAGCTAAATAATGAGAATGTGTCGTCTTGTGCCAAATTCTTAAGGGAAGTATGTAAGAGTCATCCTAGGGTAAGCGTGCCAGTGTACAAACGTCTTCACACTAGCCTTGTCCCATTCTTTACTCTTCAAAGCTCTGTGCAGGTGAGAACCTCTAGAAAACAGTCTGTGTCCAGGACATCAAGCTTCTGGACCAGAGCGGTGGCCGAGCAGCCTCGGGTGGACGCTCTGTCCCTGCGGGCGGGCGGAAGGCATGCAGGGGAAGCGCAGGGGGTGTCTCGGCCACTTGACCAGCAAGGCCGTCAGTTTAAAACCAGCGCGCCAAGACCCCGCTGTAGGGGGCCGGTCACCTAAGCTGGTTCTGGGTCCTTCGCTGTCACGGCGTATTTATGTATGGTAACCAAAACAAGTCATGGACTCTTCAGAAAACCTGCACCTCGAGTTCCACCTGTGACACGTCTCAACACGCCATTCTCCCGGACGGCACGTGCGACTGCAGCCCAGCCTTGCTCTCGAATTCCACTGGCTGCCCTACACAGCCTAGATGTCTGTAAAAATGTCCACTAAAAAGAACACAAGTTTAGAAATTGTAACCATATTTTAAGTTTGTTATAAGCTTTTATTTGTTATAAGCTCAAAATTGAAATAATAATTTTGTTAAAACCAAATCTGTTCTGTAATTGGTTGAGAGTTTCAGTTTGGGAAGGCGAGAAATTTCTGGAGGGGACAGTGTTGATGGCTGCACAGCAATGTCACCACGCTACGGCCAGTAAGTTGTTAAAAAGGTAAATTTTATATTTTACTACAATAACGATCCTTTCTGTATTATGAGTATCATGTTTAAAGTTTACATTTTTACATACGTGATACTCTCAACACTGGGTACACCTTCATCAGCGCCTTGCCACAGTGCCCTCGTCCTGCGTCTGCTGTTGGTGGGGGCGGGGGGGAAGGGGGCTGGTTGCTGTTTTAATCCTTTCTAATTATAGCACCTCACTGGGCCTTTTCTGAAGACAGCTTGTCCTCACAGGTTTAACCCATCTCGGTCATTTCCTTCTCTCCCCCACAGCCCTAACCCAGTCCAGGTTCTGAGCGCTGCTGGGGATTTCAGAAGTGGACGTGTAGCAGTGGGGAGTCAGTGTTTTTCCAGGAAAAGCGAAGAAGCCTTTGCAATACAATCCAATAGACTCTCTTCTACAAGTTCTACTTCCTTATGGTAACGGTGTCTGTATGTCTCCTTGGGGACATCAGCTCTCTGCAGGGAGGGGTTCTGCTCACTTCCGCAGGCCCAGCTCTCTGTCCAGGACGGGAGAGGGGAATCGGTGCTTGTCAAATGAGAGAACGCCAGCTCGTTCTCATTCCTTTTTATTCTGAGCTTCTGTGAACATGGTTGCCAGTTAATATTTCACTACCTTTGTACTTTTGCTTTATAATTTATGACCATCTGAATATGTTAAGAAGAGATAGAGTATCCCATTGAGACCACGGGTAAAATGAGCTTTTGCCAACACTTTCATGTCCTCGAGCACTTTCCTCTGGACTTTCACAAATGCCATTAGTGTCCCCACTCCATCAAAAAAAAAGATTCTTATAACTCTGTAGTTTCATGTATTTTCTGAAACCTAAATATAATGTTTTACCTGTGTGAATTTCACCCTTCAGTAAGAGCATTTACATTTATATGTAAGCACTTAAAAATGTTTAAGCAGCTTAACAGGAGCCCCCAGAAGGTGCAAAGGAGAAAGGATGTATGTGTGTGCGCGCACACGTGTGCATCGCAGTTGTGCTGGAGCAGCAGGTGCTACGATCCCGTTTCACAGACAAGGAGGCAGATACCTCACAGGTGAGTGACTCTGAAGGTGACCCAGCTCTTTAACAGCAAAGAGCTTCAAACGCTCTGCCACCTTAGGTGCCACGAAGCAAAGAGGGGCCGTGCCGGTGACACCTTGCATGCCCACTGACCTGGTCTGACACATTGTACCAGTCGTAATCAAAGGAGTGGACGCTCCTGCTCTGAGAGAAGGACAGGGTGAACAGGTTGTAGCAGGCTCGGGAGGTGTACAGCAGGATGACGGTCACACCGACGGTGGTCACCTGACACACGGAGGAGCCCTGGAAGAGTGACAGCCGTGAGGGGCACGCCCGCTCTGGTGCAGACACGGGCCTCCTCCCCAAACACCCTGTGCCCACCCAGGGCCCGTCAGGACCCTCACCCCCAGGCCTCAGACCCACATGCCGCAGTCCTTCTGAAATCTCAAACTATCTGCACAGAGAAGCCTGGGCTTTGATTAGGGGGTTCCTCCAATGGGTCTAAAATGTGGGCCACGTGCCCAAGGCCGGGCTGGTAAGAACAAGAAGGTCAGAATGCTTCTTTGTGCAGTCTCCAAGGGCCACTACACAGCTCCGAGGGGGGCCTGGGAGCCCAGTGCCCACCTCTGATCTAAGGACAACCAGATACGCTCGGGGGGCACAGCAGCCTAGAGGGAGCCGAGCAGATGCCTGCAGCCCTGGGCAGCGAGTGCTTCCTCAAAACCCAGCACCTTCCAGGCTGGGAGGAGGGGGTTCCGATGGACTCTGGACTTGGAGCAGGTGGGAATCAGTGACCGTGACCCAGATTATGAACTGTCCATTAACTGTCCATTTCCAAAGTCAGTTAGAGGACCCCCAGCTGGAAACAGGTAAAGAAAACTGAAATTCGTTTCTGAGTTTTGCATTTGGAAGTCAGTAACTCAACCCAAGCTATTCAGTTCTGACAGCAGAGGTTTGTTAGCTTGTTTGCCATGGAAGTGACCTCAATGGTAACTGACAATGTGAAACTTAACCCTCCTCTTAAAACCACAATTCTGTTGTTAAAAGCTGTGTATGGCCCCTAGGTGGTACATAATACAATTAACAGAAAATTAAGGCAAAATCAAGATGAAAACTCATCAAAATTTATAGATGGAAAACTAGTCTGCCACACTTACTTCTTGCCAGGATTTTGCAAGAGTTCAGCCAGTTCAGAGAGGGCTCTGATTAAGGCTTGTATTTTGACATTAGAAGCACAGGTTTGAACCAACCAGTCACTGAAGACACTGAGGGAGTCAGAGCTGCCCCACAGCCAGATGGGCCAGCACAGAGGAGGCGGACCCAGGGACAGCCAAGGACACTCAGCCACGGAATTCCAGGAACACAGGCACCAGAGACCACTCAACCCTTGTCCTCGTGCAAAAACCAAGCCAGAGGCTGAGTGACGAGGGTGGGGGTCCCACAGCCCGGGAACACCCAGCATCTGCTCCCCACCCCCCACACTCCACTAGGCTTCTCAATGGAGGGAGAGCAGGGGTCAGACTGGTGGGGGTGCTGGGCCCCCAGCCTGAGTAGCCTGCCAGCTCCTCTGCATCCTGGGACAGGAAAGAACACCTGGGTTGTGTGGCCCTTGTCTGACTCCCTCCCTGAACAGTCAGCGACAGCAAAGGCGTCCTGAACTCCAGGGCCAGCTCCCTCTGCCTTGGAGACCCTCTTCCTTGGAGACCCTCAAGGGCCTTGCCCATCCACAAGAACCTGCACCCAAGTCTCCACTGCGGTGCAACCCGGGATGGGGAGGGCAGACCTGCAGCCAGGAGGCCGGGGAGATGCTGGCCCCTACAGCTACACGCCTGGGGGGGGCCTAGTGACTTGTGTGCCTCAGCTTCCTCATCCACAAGGTGGAGAGAAGATGGACTCACCCAGTTGTGAGGTGACACTTGTCCTGCGCTCAGAAAAGTGCCTGGAACCCAGTGAACACTGATGTGTGTTTCTAGTAACATTTTAGCAGAATCTCCCCACCTGTCCTTTAAAATGCGGTTAAACCACCGTATCTACAAACCAGGGAATAATTCCTCCCTCCGATACACAGAGCCGCCCAGATGGAATGCTTCTTGCATGAAAAGTTCCTCGACCCCCGTGCTGCTGGGTTCTGGCCACCAGTGTGCCTGGTCATTTGAAGGTCAGCTGTGAAAGGTGTCTGTTGAGTCTGTTTGCAAACCGGGATACTATTTTTAGAACACGCCGAATGGAGGGCTCTCGGTCACGTTTCCACCTTACCTTGGACTCCAAGTAAATGTTGGCCAAGGACATCTTGGAGATTTTGTAGAGGCAGACGGAGAGCGAGACGGCACACAGCACGAAGAGCGTGTCGTTGATGGCCACGCGCACGGAGACGATGGCTTTCCTCTCCCAGCTGCCCGTCCTCACCAGCACGGCACAGGTGAGATTCACCAAGAGGAACACGAGGCTGATGAGGAGCGAGGCCAGGTAGAGGGGTAACCTGGAAGCGGCGAGAGCGGCGTGTGAGGCACCACGACACGCATGTGGCTGCACGGTCTGGATCAATCCAGAAAAAAGCAGACCTTCTTTGGTGACCTGCTAGGTGCGGAACCCACCAACGTTAACAAACACTTCACAGGCAGGCTGTGCAGGTGGCTGGCGAGGACTCCAATTGCAGGCTGACCACCTCTCATGCCCTCAGGAAAGTACATCAGCTCTCGGAGCCTCACCTGCCCTGTTGCTGGGCAGACTAAAGATTGAACGGGGCGTGAACGCCCGGCGCTCACTGCGTCCAAGCGTCCGGAGTCTGGAGGGCAGGCTGGACTGCAGAGAGGGTTCCAGTGAGCCAGTCATCATCCTGGGCTCCGGGGACTTGGGGCAAAGTCAGCCTGTGTGAGCCTTGGTGCCAACAACCGAAAATACACTAAATTATACCCTGCACGCAGTCTTTGGTGGCTGAGGTCATGTTTATTTTAAAAGGTAACTGAAGAAGTGGGAGTCGGGGGGCACTCACTTGTAGCGGGGAGCCCTCACACCAGCTTGCCCAGGGCAGATGCTGCCGGCCGTCCTGGTCTCTAGCCACTGTGAACTCATAGCTTCTCAGAGCCACACACTTCTTCAGTGACCTGTGTAAGGTCTCTATGAAGACTTCTCAGACCTGCTAACACCACAGCCCACAGCCTGTCCACCTCGCACTTCCTTCAGGTGGACACTGCTTAACAGGCACACCAACGAGAGACAGGCTTGCTGGGCTCAAAACCAGGCTGGTGCAAGCTGAACATTCGCAAATCCAAAGGCAAAAGACCATCAGCCAGAAGTGGTTTTGGTGCCAGACAGTGACGGTGTTTCTAAAGCTGTCACAGACCAGGACACAAAGACCTGGGTTTGAGTACCAGCTCAGACACCAGTGACAGGAGCCCGTGTGAAGGGTACGGGGGACAGGCACAGAGAAATGGACAGAAAAACAGAGACAGAGGAGATGGAGGAGCAGCTACAGTTTGGGTTCCTGCTTGCGGGTGACAGGGCCTTGTAATCAACCCCATGGCCCCCCAGCTAACTTGAACGCAATAATAATTTCCTGTTCACTAGCAAAGTCCCTCACCTGATTTTTCAGAACATTCTGTCAAAGGAACTTTTTGGGCCTTATTCCTCATCCTTCAGATTGCAGCTCGAATATCACTTCTTCCATGAAGCCTTTCCGGCCTCCTGTACCCCTTACAGGCACATGTGTGTACATGTGTGCACATGCATGCACACACATGCACACAGGCACACCTCTGCCTGTGCCTTCCTGGTCCCTGTGCTTTAGCTTCACAGACGAGGGTCCCCCTGACACGGAAGCATGTGGACGGGCTGACCCGCGCCCTCCCCAGGGAGGTGGAGGTTTGGCGCTTTCTGTCAGCTCCCCACACCCCCGTCACCCCGTGCTAGCAGGGGCTCTGGAAACACGAGTGAGTCCAGGTGAAGACGTGCGTCTGCATCAGAATTGGGAGGCGGGTCCCTCTTCTTTCCAGCAGCCACCACAAGCCCGGCCCTTTCGGGGAAACAACTTGAACTGGAGCAGCTCATCCTTCAAGATGGAGTCAGAGGATGGAGGCTGTTCCCACCACAGCCCTGCTGGGGCTGGACAGCCTGCAGGGGCAGATGGGGTGGGAGAGAAGCTGCAGGGGCTGGCAGCCCACGGGTGGGTACGCAGAGGGACAGTGGAGCGGGACAGGATGACGGGACTCCAGTCAGGAGGCGATGGCCCGGAGCCGAGAACGGAGTGTGACCAGCGAGACCTGGGCAGGCGATGCCACAAAAGGAGCTGAGAGAGGTGGGGGAGGGCCAGGGCCCAGCGGTGCTGCAGGGACGGTGACGGGCAGGGCTCGGCCGTCTCACAGACGCACTTCCATGTGCAGTTACACACTGAAAGCTTTTCAAGCAGCAACAAATTTTGTTGGAAAAATAAACATAGCATGGGATCACTGGTCAAGGCCCTTCTAATCCACCTCACTCTCACCAACTGTCATGTCCCTGCCGGTCCCTCTGGGTGGAGTGCCCACGTCACCCCACCCCCAGCTGGCCCTCCATACTGTCCACTGCGGTCCCCATCACGGAGTGCACACCGGTATGGCTGTTCAGTTCTGGGTGCCACCATCTCCCCGAGCAGATTGAGCTCAGGAAGGCCCTCCGCCCCCGCACTGTGTCCCCTGTGCCAAAACGTCAGGCTGGGCCCACGGCAAGTGCTCAATACACCGCCCACCCTCGTCTTCAGGCCCTGGACTATGTCCCTTGCTTTCCCGTTGCTAAGACCAGGACCCTGGCCACATGGAACACTGTCCCTCTGACAAGGGAGTATTTCTTCTCTTCCTGAAATCTTCCCCCCATGGTGGGGCTTAGGGAAGAGGGTAGGTCAGGGCCAGGGAACTAGGAAATTCCTGTGGCACCATGGGCCAGGTCCCTGACAGGCCAAGCTTTCACTTCCTCCCAGACAGACGTACAGACATGAGGTGGGGCCACGTGCTGGGCTGCCAAGAGAGCCAGCCGGGGAGAGCGCCCATGGGCAGCTGGCCCGGCACTGTCCTCTGTTCTAAACCACATTGTCTCAAGTGGGGAAGTCGGGGGCAGGGAGACAGGGAGAAAGGCAGGTCTTTGGGAGTCACAGAAAATCTGCCTCCTGGTTCCTCGAAAGCCCATTTTCATGGATTTATCACCATCTGCTGTGCCTCTGTGGTGGATGTGGGGCACTCCCACCTGCACAACGGCACGGCCTCTGGAGGAAGTGCCCTCCGGACGCCGGGCCTTCCCAACAGCTGCCCGTGGGGTGGCCTGAGGTGCCACCGTGGACAGAAGTTCTTAGTCTTCGTCCTCTGCTATGAAAGCGGTGTGCGGTCAACGCAGGGCCCGGGGCAGTGCTGCGCCAGGGAACAGGCGTGCCCTGCCCCCACAGTGGCTCCACCACTGCTTTGTGGTGGCCCCCGTGCCCTTCCCAGCTCGGACTGTCATAGGCGGTGACTCATCACCCAGCCTCGGCCTTCACCCTCACTGGCCTGGTGTGACCAGGGAGATAGGGGCCGGATACAATCAGAGCGAGGCTGCCGGCAGGCTGGGCCACACGTCCTCAGCTGTGAGAGGTGGATGACGCTCCTTCCCTCCTCAGAGACCTGCCCGAGGATTGGGGGCTCTGCACCTCTTGCTGTCCCCTCTGTCCTCACCCCACAGAGCCCCTCCTTTTGTCGACAGCAAATTCCAGAAAATTACTTCCTCATAGGGGTTCTGGGCCTGATGCCAACCCCATTCTCCCAGGCCCCATGACCAACTCACTAACTCAAAGGTATAATCTTAGAGCACCCTCTCCCCAACCTTCCTCAGGCCCCCCTCCTCTTCTGACCTGGCCCTGGGGAGCCCCTGCTTCCTCTTCCTCTTCTTTCCCCGAAGTGACAATGACGTCCTGGGCTCTCTCTTCCACACCCTCTTTCTTCAGAGACAGCTTCTGCATAACCAAGCTCTAAAGGCCACCTCAGGCCACCGCCTCTGTCCTTCGTCCAGACTCTCGTGCCAACCAGCCTGCCACTGGGGTCACCTCCATGTCCACGCTTCCTCCCTAATGATCCGCCCCCAGCGTTCAGAACCACCACAGTCCCACCGTGAACAATCTCCACCTTGATGCTTCGGACTGCAGAGAGCTTGCTTCTTTGCCCACAGTCACAGACATACACACACATTCACTCTCACAAACACACTCGCACACACGCCCACATAAAAACACACTAACACACTCAAGCACACACACGGGCAAACACACTAACATTCCAACACGCATGCACGCTCACAGACACACATATTCTCACATCCACAAACACTTCCACGAACATACACACTAACACATATGCACACACATTCACACACATTCATACTCACATTCACTCACACACTTCCACATACAAACATACACACTAAGACACACTCAGTTTACAAACACACGAACACACATTAAACATACTTTCACACTCACAAACATTCACACACACACACACACACTACAGACACTCACTCCCCCACACACCTTCAATCACTGGTCAAACTGCACAGGCTCCTTACTCCCGCTCCCCCGACTCTGCCCCTCTCCCATTCTCACCACCACGGCTGGGCCTCGTGTCCTCTGACCAGAACTAACGCCACAGTGCCCTGATTGATGCCTGCCCACCCCCTGCAGTCCACAGCCAGACCAACCGATGGGTGCACAGCATGCTAATTAAACCAGTCTCCTCACTGTCCCCAAACCTGTCCCGCTGTCCCCATCTCCCTGTCTACACAAGCCCGTTTTTCTCCCTGAAACCTTCCCACCCCTGGACTTCTATCAAATCCAACTCTTGGCGCCTAAAGAACCACCTACTACAGAAAAGCCTGCTGCCCTCTTATGGAAACAACATGGAAAAAGTACTAATGACCTGTCGGTAAGATAAAACTGAGGAACCAAAACTGAGAAAGAAAAAACACCAGCTCTGTCCTGGAAGCCGTACACTGAGAACCCACAAAGAAACACATCACTTCGTTCCCCGAGGGAACATGCTGGGAGGAGCGGTCCGTAGACGTGCTCTACTACTTCTTTCCACATGTGTAAATTCGCAACTTCTCTTTCTGTCTCGTAATTTTTTCTAGTGAACTTATACAACTTTCATAGTGAAAAAAGTACCTTATACAGCATAACGCTTCCCCCTTGGCCTGTGGCTCCAGAAGAAAAGGGGAGATTTGGAGGGTGGAGAGTTTACCACTGGGGATCAGAGCAGGCAGGGCTGAACAGCAGGGCTGTTTCCATGGGAATGGTATTTTGTGCCTAAAAATGACTTCTTTTCAACCCAAACTACAGGGTCAGAATAAACAGCCCATGATGACAGAAGAGACAGATAAGAAAACCAGTGGGAATGGAGAAGCCAAAGAACTTGTATGTACGACCCATGGACATGAACTGGGGGAGAAATGCTGGTGAGGGGAGGTGCTGTGCAGAGGGGAATGAAGGGGGAAAGTGGGACAACTGGAATAGCATAATCAATAAATTACACGTAAAAAGAAACAGAAAATAAGTGGGGGCTGGCATCTGGGATGAGCACTTGCTTGTGAGGGCAGAAGCAGCAGCTCCCGGCAGGTCAGCAAGCGCAGAGCGAGGCGAGTCCTCAGGCAGCACCCCTCGCCCTCGCTCTTGCTCTCCAGCTTGGCCAGCGCCTCACCACCTCCCAACGTGAGGGGACGGCACTGATGAAGTTCTAACACCTTCGACTTCTTACAGAAAGGGAAAAGCAAAGCATGGCTTGTTATATTTTTTATTTAAAAAAGAAATCAACGATGGAGAAAAAACAGCTAAAAATGTTTAAAGTCAAAGTACTCTCGTGCACTCCTGTGCCCCGTGTTCGTATTTCCTAAGCCAACGATTCTAACACACAGACTGAGAAAGTCGAAGAGCAAATACAATTCAAATGGGCAGCATCTGCCCGACACGGGAGCTCGCGGCTGCGTGAGTGAGAAAGTGGGCGGGGCGGGGCTGGCTACATCAGCCTCACAAACACAGTGGGGCTGCTGCAGTAGCGTGGGATGGGAAGCCAATGTGTCAAAGGGCCTCTCCTGAGTGAAATGCTGCAGTGGCACCTGCCTGAGAGAAATGGAGAACTTTCAGGGGTTCTCAGCACCTGGTGACTGAATGGTCTGATCTGAGTTGACAGGCTTCTCACTCTAGGACCTCAGCCTCCTGGCTTCCAGACGCCCTTCTCAGCCCACACTCCTCACCTCCACCAGCTGACTCCATTTGACTTCCCCTCCCGCTCTGCAAACCCCTCCCAGTGAAAGCCGCCACCCCACCCCGACAACGCAGCCTGCCTCTCCAATCCCACCCGGTTCCAGGAGCAAGTCTGCCCAGCGCCCCCGCTTCTCACCTGAAAAACCCATCCCTCAAGAGCAGAGGTATAAAATAGGTAAATCCTTCTTTCTGACCTGCACTTTCAGTTTTCTTCTGGAAGCTCCCACACTGAGTCACCCCAAACTCAACCAAGCACCCAAGACAAGGTAGGCTCTGTAACCCAACCAGAATATTCTCCCCCAACCCACCCTTCACTCACTCTCTGCTCCCAGCCCACCCGGGGTGGGGTGGGGACTGCTGGCGGGCGGAGGGAGGGAGAGGATGAGATTAAGGACTCAGAGGAAAGGCTACCTACAATCAGACATGGGAGGACCATATACCTGGACCCTTTCAACTCCTGCCCTGGACCAGCGTCACCAGCCAAGCTGGATGGCAGAAACATGAACCAAACAACCCGAAAGGCAGCGAAGGCGGCGCCAAGATCAGAGAAAAACAACACCACACCACGAGTCTCCTTCCTCGGACCTTGGCCGATCCTGTTACGCAATTTTCTGAACTTCAGTTTCTTTGGATATAAAATGGGAAATAAAATATACACCTTCAGAATTTTAACTAAAGTCTTTATAAGTTTAAGATATATACAAGGTCAGTCTGAGATAAGTCCAGCCATTGTTAATATAATGAATGGTTTGGGTGACATTAGTGTAACCTGGCAGCCAGGGAGAGTAGACCAGACTGCACATGCGTGAACAATGACAACTTCACTGTACTAGTCAGTGGGGGCGGTAGATGCCATTGAGTGAGCATGTGCACTGTGTGGCCGTCACATTCAAAATGACTGAGAGTACAGCAATGAATCTGCATCAAATTTTGCGTTGAGCTTGAATATTCCTCCTCGGAAACTATTCAGATGATTCAGGAAGCCGCAGCTGTGGACACCTGGTGATTGGCAGCTTTATCACCACAACAATGTGCTTGCTCATGCATCACTTCTCCTGCTGAGTTTTTTTGGCCAAAAATCAAATTACCCAGGTGGCTCAGCCCCTCAACAGCCCAGATTTGGGGCCCTGACACTTCTGGATTTTGCCAAAACTAAAATCACCTTTGAAAGGGAAGAGATTTCAGACCACTGATGAGATCCAGGAAAACATGATGGGGCAGCTGATGGCGACTGGGAGAACTGTGTGAGGTCCCAAGGTGCCTACTCTGAAGGGGACTGAGGTGTCATTGTCCTACGTACAACGTTTCATGTATCTTCTATCTTCTTCAATAAATGTCTCTATTTTTCATGTTACATGGCTGGACACCTCCTGGATAGACCTTATATTTAAATAAAATATAATGTGTATACCTTTTTGCATATTTTTAAGTAACAAAATAATAAAATTTTCATTTTGATTCAAGGAGGTAAGTGGCTAAAGTCGCCTTTCCTCAAACGTTTGCCCTCGGTGTGCAGGTCTCTCAGGCAGGGACATCAAGACTCTGTCCCTCATGCTGCACCTGCCTCACGTCCCCAGACGCCTGGCCTCCCCTCCCCTCTGCCCGAGTCCGACCTCTCTCAGCCCCCAGTTCTCCCCTGGGGGTCACGGAGCACTGTGCACACTTGGGAAGAGCCACAGCCCTCTGCATACACCGGCATGCAGGCCTTCCCTTCTGGACTGCAAGCCCCTCCTGTTCACCCTGGCACAGACCTCACTTCCTCCACCACATTCCCATAACCCCCCAGTGCCCAGAGGCCGCAGCACAGATGCCCATGCACGCAACACATCACTGATGGCACTTGGCCTGACTCTGCAAGTTTTTCTGCTGTTAAGGACACCTTTACCCTCAGTGTTTACCACCCGCCCCACCAAGACCCAGCCTACCGCCCTGCCTCAGGGTACCCAGCTGAGTGCTTAATGGTCAAAACTGTATTTGCCGGATGGTGCTGGGGTGACCACTGCCATACCCAGGCCCTGCAACTCTGGAGAACAGAGCCCATATGCAGGTGGTGGCTACTCTTGGGGCCAGGCCACCAGGTGGAATGCAGCGGGCAGGCTCTACCACAGCTGCACCGCAGGAGGGTGGGGAGAAGACAGGAGGGGTGCCAGGCCCATCGGGCGTCAGGGACCCTCTGCCTCCCACACGCTCAGGGCCCACGTGGGCTTCGGGTGTGCTCCTCTCCCCTTCCTCTTGGGTTTCAAGAGGCACAGGCCTCTCGTTCCTAAACCAGGTGGGCGTGCTGTGGGACCCAGAAAGTTCAGCCACCTGTCGCCTGTGGGGACAGCTCACGTGTGAGCCTTTCACCTGCTTTCTCAGGAGAATGCCCCGGTACTTACCGGTACTTGAGTAATTCTGGAGAATACTTTGACTTGGCTTTGAAAATCACCTGCAATGACAGAAAAACACAGTGGTTTGGGGACGCAATAGGCTGACCCTGAGGCACTCACATCACGCTCTGGACTCCCCTCCCCCTCTCCCTGGGCGCCAGATGAGGAAGTTTGCTAAGCTAAATGCTTTTTAGGCAGTGCATACAATTTTAAAATAAAGGCAGTTAAATTGTTACGATGTTTAAAAAAAAGGAAGGGTCTTCTATAACTTTAAGGTTTATGTGCAAATCCGTACTTGTCCCAGAGATAAACCCCACCCCCTCCTCCCATGTTATCGGGAGTTTCCCAAGCACCAAATTAACCCAGTTTGACCAACTGTGCACGTCCCCAGGCCTCCAGCTTTGCTGCACAGGCAAACTGCCCCTGGACCACAGACATGTCAAACTAGACGGTGGTCTGTAGGAAAAACGCGTGTTGGAAGTCCTCCAGATCTTCGGCAGGTTGCACAGGTGCAGCAACCACCTGGTGGAGCCTTGAGAAGGTGGAGAAGGGACCACAGGCAGGTGTCGGCTCTAGCCCCAGCCAAGAGGGCTGGTCTGCCCAGGTGGTCACAGAATGGAGGGCTGGCTGGGGGCCGGGGGGCAGTGGAGTGGCAGAGCATATGCTCAGGCATTCGCCATCCTGGGTCCTGGTGGGGGGCAGGCACTGGGAGAAGGAGAGAAAGGTTTGGAAGGAGAGAAAGGTTTGGAAGGACAGAGAATGGGCCACTTTCTCAGAGGAGATCTGGTGAGAACCTTCTAGCAAAGCCTTCTGTGTGGAGTTCCTAAACAAGACCTCGGCTGGAGGCCCCTCTCTTAAAACTCCTCAGGATCTGCTCAACCTGCAAATATCGAAGGGGAGAAAGATGTTGCCTGAGGGGGAATTTCCCCGTAGGGCGTGAAGGACAATGAGAAACACGGTGGGGAGCAGGAGCCTGGTTCTGGTGAGAGCTGAGGAAGGGACAACCGCTCTGGGACCCTGGGAGTACATGGGGGTCAGATATTGTTGCCCCCTTGTCTGAGGAGGAAGCAATGAGAAATCAGTTTCCTGCATGGATCCTGGAAAGTAACCCTAGAAATCACCCAGTGGATCCCAAGTGTCCAGCCAGACCTGCTGGTGCAGCGGCCACTGGGGTAGAGACCCTCTGCCTAACTAACTCTGCAGGCCGATTCCAGGACACACTGTGCAAGACGAAACTGAGAGAGGCAGGATGGGGCTGACCACAGATGAAGAGCTCGAGGGGCCTGGGCAGCCCACCCGGGCGCGCGCACGCACGCACACCTATCAGTCGGGTACCCCCAGGGAGGACCCGCAGAATCCCCGCCTGGGGCAGGAACCACAGCTTCCTACAGACCTTACAAAAAGCACGCCCACCTCCCCTTTCAAAAAAATCGTTTTCAGAGCTTCCCAGAGGAGCATTCCAAACTCAGACATGAGTTTTATCTCTGTCCTAAGTCCTTTTGAGAAGCAGGTAGGAGGCAGGGATGGCACCATAAATAAATGAAAATATCTAGTCAGACAAACGGATGACATGAATTCAGGGCCCTTACTTTCTGAGAGTCGTGAGGCAGCTTTGTCTGACAGCGGGCTGCTCCCATCACTTTCTGCGTCTCTCAGGACCAAGGAGAGACACACACGACTCCAAGGTGCTGTCACAAATCTAATACCAACTCGTGCCCCGCAGACAAAGCTCTCAGAGATATGCCCTCCTGCTGATTGGTGTTCAGGGCTATCACTTTCAGTAACCAAGAAAAGTCGTCACAGACATCAAAGCAGAAGAAACCACAGGATTTTTAAAAGTGTTTGACCATGTCAAGGAAATACGCAACTATTGTTTAATATTCTGCCACACTCAGGGGGACTCAGGTCACTTACAAGTCACTCTGACAAGCCACAGCCTGTCCCAGCAACCCTGCCACCACCCACAGCATCCCCCACCCACGGACTCAGCTCTGTGCAAGGTGCTGTCAGGAACCAAAGGAAAATATGACCGGTTCTGCCTTCCATGGGCTCACAGTCGCTGTGGAGGGATGAGACGTGGACAGAGGAAGAACCAGCAGAGGCCGGCCAGCAGGCTCCAGCCGTGGAGCACGGGAGCTCACGGAGCTGATCTGTAGTTCGCAGACTCAGCCTCGTGATGATGTCAACCCTTCTCGGCCACATGCTGCTCCAGATGGCCCAGGCAGCTCCTGGTCACCAGAGGTCAGCATGAGTGTGTGATTGTATCAGGGTCAGCTGAAGGCTACTCGGCTCCCAGCTCACTCCCACCACTTGGCCAATGCTGGGTGTCTCTGGGATGTGGAACCCGCAGGATGACATACCAATCTAGCCAAGAGCTGCGAATGTAGATGACACTCCCAACTGGAAGTGTAGCCCCCCTCCTCCAACCATCTTCCTTTATAAACAAAACAAGACGCTGCTAGACTTCCCACAGCCCCACCCCTGCAGCTCCATCCACTGGTTTGGTGGTGCTGGGTGGGCTGAATGGAGTCAAGAGCACCCCAGAGCACCCTCCTGGAACACTGCAAAGGACAGCGGTTCCAGCCAGCACCATCCAATAATTGGTCCAGTACTCCAGCCCTATAAGCAATCAGACACTTTGCCTCAACAATTCCACCTGTAAGAGATCATTCAGAGGCAAGGCTTCTCATAGTGTGCCCACAGAACTGGAAATTTTAAATGTTACTGGAAATAAGTGTTGTGATCAAGCCTACGGAGAGCTACGTGGCCAAACAGTTTTTCTTCCTGGCAGCGACTCCCAGAGCCTGTGAAAGGCTCATATGCTGTGAACCTTCAAGCAAAACATGGTGCTGCAGCAGCTTCCAAACTGATTCGGCCACTGTAGGTCTTCCCAGTAGTGAGTGTTCCTGGGAACGCAGCCGGGGAACACTGCCCTGGGGCACCAAGAACCAACGGAATGCTCCCTACAGCTCTAATAGTAGTGACAATGACAACTGTCACTACTATTAGACAATGACAATGTAGTTCTAATAGACACTGCAATAATAAAATAACCACAACAAATGAGAAGCGATGAAAACTTTCAAATGATGCTGAGTGTTTACCCTGTGAACATGAGCTCCAATCAAGCATGAGGGGTCCATGGGGTTGGCAAACCCAAAAAGGACCCACAGCCCCACCCTGTAGAATGACTTGTGCCATAAAAGATGGGGAAGCCCCACAAAACTCAAACTCAAATTACCATCACATCCCTGCCTGCCCAGAGGAAGACAGTTGTCACAGGTAAAGGAACAATCAGGCAGTCAATAATCATTCCATCCTCTCTACACTGAGAGCAAAGGTGACAACCTGTAAACAAACCTTGACCCTGATTTGTAAAAGTTCTATCCACCCTCGGTCGTTCCTGACAATTACATGCTTTGAATCCAACTGGGTGTATTCATGCTGTGCTTGGAAACACTTTGTTTACGCTTCAAGCTAATCTTTAAAGTTCTTAAAAGTTTTATTTAAGTTTCTGGCATATTAAACTGAGGTATACACCAGTATACATACATTAATTATAGTACAATTTCTGTCCTCACTAATTTAAGGGCGTAAATGTCTGAACCAAGTGTTAAAAAAATCCAAACTTGCCTGCCCACCCCACCCCACCCCCATCTGGGCGACAAGAGACTTCACTAACACTGATGAGGGCCCAGAACTGCAGCTAAACCTCCCAGGCCAAGGCCTGGGACCTCTCATCGGCCTACCTACCTCCTGCAGTCTGTGCCAGCTCCCGCCGATCCCAGCAGGGACTCGGCCTGCAGGCAGAAAGCCAGGCCCACAGACTAGGAGTGGAGGGAGACCAGGACTCTGTGAGGGAGCACTTGAGGGAGCATGCCCAGCCAGATAAAAATGCAATGGTTCCACATTCAGACTGGTGGTGTTCACGACAGTGCAACTGGAATGAGCGCTAAATCTGGGTTCCAGAATTGTGAACATAAAGAAAAGCTGGTCCATGCCCTCAAGAAACTCACAGACAGACACAGACATGCCAGCAGTCTGAGCAGAGTGGAGCTGTGACGTGGTGTGAGGAGGTAAGGGGACGTGTAAGGAGGTGTGGGTAGGAATGAGGGGATGTGTGGAAGTGAAAGGAGATGTGAGATGTATTGGGAAGTGTGAGGAGGTGTGAAGTGTGGTGTGAGGTAGTGTGAGGAGGTGTAAGGAGATGAGGTGTGGTGTGAAGTGTGTGTAAGTATGAAGAGCTGTGGGGAGGTTTGAGAATTTGAGGAGAGGTGTGAGACGTGAGTTGGTGTAGGGACAGGTGAGGAGATGTAAGGAGGTGAGGTGTGGGGTGTGTAGAAGTGAGAGGACATGTGAAGATGTGTTGGGATATATGAGGTGTATAAGGAGTATGAGGAGCTGAGGTGAGGGGAAATAAAGGGAGGTATGGAGAGGTGTGAGGAGGTGTGTGACGGTGTGAAGAGGTGTGTGGAAGTAGGAGGAGGGAAGGTGTGAGGAAATGTGAGGAGGTGTGGTGTGGTGTGAGGTGTATGGCGATGTGAGGAGCTGAGGGGAGGTGTGAGGAGCTGAGGGGAGGTGTGAGGACGTGAGGAGAGGTGCAAGTAGGTGTGAGGGAGTGAGGAGAAGTATGGGGAGATGTGTGGATGTGTGGGGAGATGTGAGGAGTTGTGTGGAGGTGAGGGGAGATGTGAGGATATGTAGGGAGGTGCATAGAGGTCAGGGGAAATGTGATGTGTTGGGAAGTGTGAGGAGGCGAGGGGATGTGTGAAGAAGTGAGGGGAGGGGTGAGTTGTGGTATGAGAAGGTGGGGGGTGTGAGGCAGTGAGGGGAGGTGTGAGGATGTGTCAGGAGGTGTGAAGAGGTGTGGAGAGGTGAGAGAGGTTGAAGAGGTGATGGGTAGTGTGAGACGGTGTGAGGAAATAAGGGGAGGAAAGAGGAGGTGTGAGGAGGTTTGAGAAGGTGAGGGGAGGTGGATAAGAGGGTACCTGGGGCCCAATAGGTGACCGTGACAGTGAACACAGCACACGTAGGTGGGGAACTGGAAAGAATGTGAATC